GCACTGGGTGAGCTTTAAGGTCCCTTCCAGCTCAAACCGTTCTGGCATTCTGTGGTTTGTGTAACTCTATTTGCACTGTTGTCCAATTAATTTATTTTTCCAGTGTTACCAGTAGGATATTTTCCCCCAGTGCAAAATCTTGTCATTTGAGCTGAATAAACCTTATATACAAAAAGTCAAGAAACAGGATCTGCTTGCATTGTTCATTGGGCAAACTGTACCCAAAAGATGTCACAAACGCTGCTTACATTTTGAGGCAGGCACAGGTTATTTGCATTTGGTGTTTTTCATTTCTTTTTCCTGTGTGATGGAGAGGCTAGAAAATATGTGTAGCAGGGGAGTGATTTGATCCACAATTTCAATTCTGTTTGTATGAAAAGAAACTCTAGTTTAAATAATAGTAGTTTCTAGTTCTAGTTTCTATAGTACTGTGCTAAAAAGGGTACAAATTTAGAGGGGGCCTCTAAAATAATAACATAATAACCGCTTTTTATTAAAGTAGTATTATAATGCTTTTGGAAAAATGGTTTACTTTTTTAAAAAATAGAACAATCACAGTCTTATACATCATTGAAAACCACTCACATCTCTCAGTAATAGTTTTGACTATCACCTTGAGACACCAGAAAATACTCTTAAAACAACTGACAGAAGACAACTGATAGAAATTGGTTTTTACTCCACCTCACTTCCGCTACAGGGATGCTGCAGTAAGATGAAATAGCCCAGGAAAAACTTGGGACTTTGTCAGGAAACTGTTAACAGCTGCGTGAGATGTGGGAGATCTAGGCTGAAATCCCGGCTTTGAAAGAAAATCAGTGCTCTGATTACATACATACACAGAGGGGGCTCCAAGGCCAGTGCTCTGTTCCGAGTTGCAGCACAGCCCCTAGCACCAGGTATCAGAGGGCATGGAGTTGGAAAGGTTGTGCAAATTCCGGTGAGGAGTGTTTTTAATTGATCACAGAATCATTTTGGTTGGAAAAGCCCTTTAAGACCACAGAGCCCAAGCGTTACCCCAGCACTGCCAAGCCCACCACTAAACCATGTCACTAAATCCCACGTCTACACATCTTTCAAACCCTTCCAGGGATGGTGACTCCACCCCTGCCCGGGGCAGCCTGCTCCAGTGCTTGACAACCCTTTTGGTGAAGAAATCTTTCCTAATGTCCAATCTAAACCTCCCCTGGCGCAACTTGAGGCCATTTCCTCACGTCCTATCGCTTGTTACTTGGGAGCAGAGACCAACCCCCACCTCACTACAGCCTCCTCTCAGGCAGTTGCAGAGAGCGATAAGGTCTCCCCTCAGCCTCCTCTTCTCCAGACTAAACACCCCCAAGCTCTCTCAGCCACTCCCCATATGACCTGTTCTCCAGACCCTTCCCCAGCTTCCCTGCCCTTCTCTGGACATGCCCCACGATGACACTATTGTGCTTGAAAAACAGGATAGGATAGTCAGAGAATGGTGCTGTCTAGTCCTTCTGCATGGTTCCTGTGATACAAGGAATGCTTTCAGCTTCTGGTTTCTCAGTTCCTCTTGCTCTTCATCCGTGTTCATTTTAGTATTTGATAGCCCTTTCTTTTAGTTCCTTTTCTCACTCTGCTTAAGCTCAGGCTTTGAATTTTATCTTATGTTGTTGGAGTGCACTGTGTAAGACTCCATGATTTGAATTCCTGTTCATGTCCAGGCACATCAGTCAGCATCTTGATTTGCTTTAGTTTATCATCTCCTATGCATATTGAGTCTCGGCTGGGAGAAAAATCCTTCTCCCGGTATACAGCAACTATAGTTAAGGTGTTCAAGTAAACACTCCTATGTCTCAGGTCAGATCTGAGATTTTTTTTCAGTGCAGGATTCTTGTCTTTTTGCTCCAGGGAAATAACTCACCTGTCTATCCTGCTCCTTCTTCAGATGTGAAAGAAATATTTGTGGAGAAGCAGCAAGGGAAGAGGAAGAATTTATTTTAATCCAAGGGTAGATTTAGTTTTCTAGTGAAACTGGGCTAACATTGCATATATTTCCTTAGATGCTACATAAAGTTTTAGGATGTTGAGGGGAAAGATTATACAGGTATTAAGAGTACAAGGAGGAATAACAAGGCACAAATTTACCTTTCTTGGTGCTCAAAGGTAACAGACTTTGTTGCATTTAACGACCTATTGGATATATTACACAAAGTTCTCCCACTCCCACCAGTAATGACATCCCGCAGCTTGTAAAAACACATCCTGCTTTGCAGCAGGTTTCAGCATTCTCCAAGCTGTATTAGGAAGACAACGCTGCTTGTTTCCACCTTTCCAAACAGGCTTTCAGGTTCGATCCACGTGGGGATGGCAGTGCGGCAGTACTGCATTTTTAGGCAAACCACCCGTGATGCTAAGCCTAAGTAAGCTCCTGCCAGCCCGCTCCCTGCTCACCGGGAGATCGGGCTGAGCTCAGCACACCCGTACTGCCAGCACACTATGCTGCAGGGATTGTCAGGCTGGGGGCAGCCTCATCCACTAAACCAGTACTGTGTGGTGCAATAGAATGTACCAGCTCAGACTTGAAACTCCTTTCTACATCTATTTGCATAGTGCTACACTTAACTGAAGCTTTTTCTCTTTCTTTGAGAGACTTTTCTTTTTTCTCTCAGGGCAAAGTCTTGGACATAGCGTTCCTACTTTCCAGAGTACCGAACCACTAAGCTGGTGTGTTTGTAGGAGTCTTGTATCTGGTTTAATGGGACTATTTCTCATTGTATAGTCTCTCTAGAAAAATGGCCTAAGCAGTAGATCATTAGCTAAAGCGAGGCAGTTTCTTTTCTGACACTGTCTTGCGTGGAGTCCTACAGGGAAGGTGCCCACCAAGGGGTGGACTCTGGTGGGACAACACCGACTCTGAGGTTCTGCTCTGAGACTGGACTGTTTTTTTCTCAAAACATAAAACCACAGATCTGAGGCTCTCAGGTGTAGGTACACACTTGTTTTAGGAACCAGGCAAATCCTGGCGACATGACTTCCTTTGGGGGAATGTAGCTGTTGCATTGCTATTCTACTGAAGTTTTCTTCTTCAGTCTTGCTGACTTCAAAATATCTTCAAAGACACAGGGGAACCTTCAAAAGGTTAATTGTTTTCTTCTGTTGAATCTGTAGAGACTTTAAATTAAACTGGTTGAACACCAATTATTAGACATCAGTGCCACAGGACATTGGTTTTTACTGTATGCTACAGAAACAGTGAAATGAACATAAGCATTCTAATCACTTTTACGTTTATCAAATCGGTCCAGTAAAGCCTTCCATATGCTGCCTGGGATTGTCTGGTGCTTGCTTATGAGAGCCTGGACGGCAGTCTTTGTCTGAAAAGAGAAGAGAAAGTTGCCTTTACAGACCTGCTTATGCAAAGAAGAACAGTGTAATCACTGACAACTTCTCAGAGGTTCAAGAAGTATTGGGAAATTCACACCTAAGATCTACTTTAACAAAAAAGTTGGGTTTTATATTAGCTAGTTGTCCTAACGACATTCGCCTTGGAAAGGAATAAAAACATTGATTGCAGTTTGGATAGGTTCAAATGATGGAGATTTATCAAACCTGGGCATTACTAAGTCAAAGTAGCCAAAACACTAAGTTTGTGTGATCTCCCCAAAGGTTTTCATCAAAGGCACTGGATAAAGCTTGACTAACCTCATCTGATCTCACAGCTGACCTTGCTGGGACCAGGAATTTGGAGTAGGGACCTCCATCTGTCCTTCCCAACATGAATTCTTCTGTGATTGTATCATATTCAGCATCCGCATAAAAAGAGGATTCATATCTAAATTCTGTTCATTTTTACTGTACATGAGATTCAGATGCAAGTTTGTGAAGAGAATGTGTAAAATATTCTGTATTTCTACTAGGGGTAAGAAATAATCTCCCTTAGTTTTTCCTCATGTATTTAAACTTGAAATAAGGGTAGCTACATACTCTGGTGATCTGCCCCAGAGCGATGGCAGAATATCACTGGGAATACAAGACCAGAGTAGCCAAACCTTTCCTGACAGATTCACATCCTGACTCCTTTCCAGGGCAGGATCAGATAGAGGTCAGCCAGGCCACTGCTCATCTCAAACCACACTGAAGTTGGTTTTGGTTTTAACTAATATGAGCCACTGAAGTGGGCAGGCAAAGGCTTGACTTGGGAAACAAACCACTGTCATGGGAAACTCCAGTTTCAGTTTTGCAGGGACACAAAATACTGTTCCCCCAAAACACAAGCGTATGGACAACCGTAAGGGCAGTCTTAGCACTAGTGCTGCTTCCAGCCCCCTAAACCTGCTAAGACCAAACCCCACAGCTTGCTGGGGCTGTTCCCTTGTAACAACCCAAACCTGTCTTTCTGGTTTCACTGCTGTGAAGACCAGAACAATCTGCAGTAGATCCTTCAAAAAAGAAAAAAGAAAAAAAAAAAAAGAAAGAAAAGCCAGTGTTCTTGCATCTTTTTGGTGGCAGCAAGGTGTTTTTTACATCACTGATTCCTAACGTGTTTTGATCTGCGTATTCCTAGGCCACAGAAGATTTTTCTTTGCATAAAGCCATCCTTTCATCTATGAAAAAATTTTAAAAGTGCGTTTTCTGTATAGATTAGTGTTTTGAAAAATGCCTAAACCCTGAATCTGTAAACATTTTTATGCTCCTGGGCACCACAGATTTAACCAAGCTGTAGGTACTCAAAATATTTTCCTATTTTGCATGCAAATTATTTTTTTAACATTTTCTTTTTGACAATAAGACTGAAGCTCTTGTGGAACTTCGTTTCTAGAGCCCTATGTTACTTAAACAGATTCTCAAAGATGTTTGCTATGTATGAAAATTGTTTTCCTAGTTACTGAAATCTGAACGTAAGAGATAGTTCACATCATTTCAGTTATCAAAGGCAGGGGAGCAACAAAGTTAGCGTCCCAAGAAGACAGAGCCCACCCGTTCTGAAAGGATGAGGGCATCCCAACCAACTGTTACTATGTCAATACTTACTTGTAGGTATCCGTACATTAAATAATCCTGGAGCTCAACGGCCCATTGCTTTAACAACCCAGTAAAAGCATGTCTTTATTCAACCATACAAAAACCTAGTTGCAAGGGCATACAAAATAGAGGGCAGAGTCTGTGGTTCGCTATTGCAAGAAGAGCTAACTTACCTTTTCAGCTAATTCCTCTGTAGTTATATTCGGATCATAAGGGATTGGCTCCCCGATGTATGTGCGGAATTTAACTGGAAGTCCTCCGTACGGAGGAGTAAACGGCAATCGAGTACTTTCATACAACTGCCTAAAAAATCCTGAAATAGGAAAAAAGTGAGATTATAGTCACAGCAAACACAATCCAAACTTGAAATCTGATTAATATAGAAGACTTCTTAAAAATGCATGCTTTATCTGACAGTCGAGAAGAAACTGCAGGATTTAGAGAACTGTCCACCAAAAGAAGGCTCGATAGACTTAACAGATCACTGAAATAAGACTGCATTAAGGAACCCAATCACACAGCACAAACCAGTTACACACAAGCTGTTTCCATGTTTGAGATACCTCTGACCCACAGCAAGCATGTTAGAGAATCCAAAGTAAGCAGAAGTCTGAAAAGCAAAATGTAAGAGAAAAGTGAGAGAAATCTGAGAGAAAAGTGGAGAAAACATTCCAAATACTTAAAATATATTTTCGAGTTCTTACTTCTTTCTTTAAACATCCTATATCCTTCCCGGACATTTTGAGTATACATTGGAATGATGGGCTAAGGAATCACAGAAAAAACCAAAAAGATGGAAATGTTATACCAGGTTTGAATTTATGTTTTAGTGCCTGTTAATGCAGCTAAGAAAATCGCTTGAATACGGAGGATAATTATCAGTCAGTTAAGCAGCAAAGAAGGAATCTTGTTATAAAAAAAAACCTCCAGAATAGAAATAAAACTCTTATTTCTCAGCTCCCACAAACATTGCTGGTTTAAAGCCACCATCTGTGAGGAAAATGACTGAGGCTGTACTAGAGGTTTACACAACTTGTATGATATGCAGGTACTGCAGTATCGCTGACTGAAACCCAATGAAGTTTTGCAGTTTCTCTCCCTAAAGCTCACATCATGTGCGGTGGATAGGACAGTAGTCAGTTTGTGACGTCTTGCAGAAAGCAAGCAGACATTCACATTTGGCTCATCTCATCTCTTTCTCAAAGTAAGGTCTGTGCCGAAGCAGTAATGTTTGGATAATGCCCCACTGGAAAAAACTTCTGCAGCTCCCTTGGACAAATAAGGCAATTGTGTGTCCACGGTGACCTGCACTACACGCCTTCTGGAGAGCAGATCCTTAAGACAGTTACAGAACAAGTTCACTTCATTATTGTCACTAAAAAGAAAACACTTGAGATACCTGAACTTGAAACAGTCACGTCTTCTAGCCTGAGGTAAGACCTCATAGTTTGTAGATAAACTAACAGTGTATCTATACTGATGACTTTTTTCCCATCTATTGTCCTTTTTCATGTTTTTTTAAGCTGTATTTTGAGCACGTTGTTGGACTTCTTTGTCCAGAAGGTAATGAAAGAACACCTTTATGCTGTTAAGAATCACTACCACAGAACAGAAACCACAGGATGAGAAAAAAACAAACATGAAAAAGACCTAACTAGAGCCTAACAAAGAACTCAAAGTGATGGAAACCATTTAAATTTGCCGTCCTGGAACTGAGCTGGATCACACCCAGCCAGCTTGAAAATCACAGAATCCCAGGACAGCTGAGGTTGAAAGGGACCTCTGGAGATCATCTCATCCAAAGCCCTTGCATGTACTTCAGAATTTTATAAACCGTAGTCCCTGTTTATCTTTTACCTAACTAGATGTCATGGGTTGAGGACTCTAAAACTTGAGCCAGATTTTTGGCACAGATAAAATGCAGGGATCTTCCGAAGCGAGGATTCCTCCCCATGAGCCTGTCAAATGCCAGCCACAGGCAGAGGGTATTTCTGAAGCTCAGGCCCCAGCGCAGATAAATTTGACTGAGACAAATACACGTCCCAGAAGTTCTCTGAGTCATGACAATAAAAAGCAACACTATTGCATACGGCACAGTTCCATAACACCCTTCCTCCCTATGGATCAACGTGCTTGAGGAAAGTGGTGAGAAAAGGAAAAGAAATCCTTACTCCCAAACCTCTTCTTCTGTCTGGAAGCAACAAACACTTGTAAGCTGCATTTTATAACAAAGCATGTATGCAATAAGCAGAAACTGGGACCAGTAACATATAATACTCACCACTTTCGCATCTAGAGCGACCTGAGCAAAGCCTTTTCGATTTCCCCACATGAGCTGATAACTTTCGTCACTGAACAGGGCTTCTCTAACTCCACCTGGTGAGATGGACACCAAGTGTCCATTCTTCAGTGCAATGAGACACTCCTCCCTTGTACCTGGCATCACACCTGTCACTTTCAATAACAATTTAAGTCCTGCAATAAATGCGTGGCAAATATACATATTATTATTATTGTTGTTGTTACTATTATTATTACAATATATCACAAATGCTTGCGTGTAGGAACAAGATTACAGCTAAATGCAAGTCTAACAGCTATATATTTAGACTAAGGCAAATTTGTACAAAGGAAGTAAAACACCTACAGAGTAAATATTGGCAAAATGATAAAACACGTGACAGTGGTTTTGCCCAAATGTTATGAAGATGAGCCCACTTATCAGGAGCAGCTGAATTAACTGAAGCCTCCACATGCTAGTTTCCATAATTCCAAAACACCAGCCATGCAATTGAAACTTGTGCATCGTAGCTAGAAATATGAACATAAACATCTATTCCTCCCTTCTTCTTTTTAAATATTTTAATACAGAAAAAAAGATACATTTTCGGTACAATAAAGATTAGTACAAAAATAAATACCTGAAAAGCATCGATTTTTAGTGTTCTTTTAAAATGTGGTGTTTAACATTTTAAATGTTCAGGTTTTGAGTTGTTAAATTGAGTATCTTGTGCTGAAATTGCAAATTATGTGGATCAAATTGGACTGCTGTACGACTCTCCAGAGGCATGAATGGCAGCAGTCAGCAGGGCAGTTGCAGCACGGCATGAACAGCTCAGCAGATCTCCTTCCTTTGTTTCCATACGCTGGGATTTCTCCAAAACGCAGACTGAGAACCACAGCAGCACTCTGTGCCTTGTTAGATTATCTTCACATTTTAAATCTATCGGTTTGGAACTCCCAGAGAGAGCTTCGGCAAATGAGAGACTTCAAATTCACCGTTCCAACAGCATGGTTTGAAAAGAGATTGGTTATATTAATAAATGTAAACGACAACTATGGACTGCCAGAACTGGTGTCCAGCACTGCAACTTTGACAAAGGTCTGCAGCAGAAACTTTGGAAGACAGCGGAAAATACAGCGCCTCATCTTGTAATTGAATTGTATTTCATCTTATTCAAGGCGTTGTGTTTGACAGATCTTTCTGGCAAAGACAGATGTTGACTTTGTTGAATCCCTTTGTGAACTCCCATCTATTCCCGTTGTATGGAATGCCGTATCGTTATTAAGTGAATAGGTACTTCCTTTGCTGGGCTTTAAAACTTTTGCCTGTCAAGAATTACGATGTATCACATGAACATATTATCATTTCTCATTCCCCTTTTCCAGGTCACACTGAATTTTATATCCCCAGCCACGCAAGGCTTCTGTCCTCTGCAGCAGCTCTTCAAAGGAAGCCATGCCAGGCCTCTGATCATCCTTGTCCTCTTTCGTATCTTTATTGGCAGCTTTTCTGAGATGAGGAGACCAGTATTCCGCACAGTACTCGAGATGTGGGCACCAAATGCATTTTGAGTACATAATGGCATTTTCTTCTTTTTTCATGATAAGCCTGAAATTCTGTTTGCCTTCTGGCAATTGCTCACTTACGCTGACATATTCCTAAAGTTATCTAGAATATTTAAAGCCTAATTACATGTTTATGTGTTTAGACTTGTTTTTCTTTCTTTCAGCACTGCATTATAACTAATACTGAGTTTCATCTGCCATTTAGTCGGCCAGTGATTCAGTATTGGTAGATAACTGTACTCTGTGTGGGCTTTTACTGCCTTGCCAAAAAAAAGGCCAGTATAAAGCTTTGTCACCTCACTACTGATTATTTTAAACAATATTGATGCCAGCACTGATCTTTGTTGATACACCTGGTGAATTCTGCTTCTTTGTGAAAACGAGCTATTTATTTCTACCCTTTATTTCCTACCTTTTAACCACCTATTCTTCACAGGAAGGCCTCTCCTGTAACTATAATTAATCCAACAGGCTGAGGTTCAGCACATGCTCATGAGCATTCTTTAAAGAACCAGTCTGTGAAGCGCAACATTTCTCTGCAAAAAGGAAGTAAGTATGGCAGAGCAAGAGAAGGTTAAGGAGAAGTTTCACTCTCTCTATTACTTTTAGCCACATTTTGTACTACTGCAGCACATGGGGACGCCTAATCTCCGTTATTTGTGGTCTTTTTTACCAGATGCCTTTTTGGTAGCCTTTTTATAGGCTATATTTGGCACCTTCTGTTCCTCTAGCATGAACATAATTCAAGCAATATGCTATGTACACATCAGTAGTCTGGAAATTGCACAGCTGAAGAGTGTTGCCTGGTCCTGACAATATACGCTTGTAATAAGAATCTGTGCTACGAACACTTCGATTTGAAACACTACCCTCTCATTTATCCCTTCACAAGGAAGCCTCTTTTGCAACAGTCTGGTAAGTTTTATCATCTTTTAGGGGTCCTCTTAAGAGCCAGTCATCTCTTGATAACTTCATGCTTGGATGCGTTTAGTACTACACAGTATTTACTAAGTATGCCTTTAGCAAATTCTTCCTCGCCATCTTTCTAGGGCTGCCTTAATATGTTCTTGCTGGAGTTTTTGTTCTTTGTTTTCAGTGATTGGACACAACTTCCTGTTCTGAAGAATGTCCTACTTTTAAATAGCTTCCTTTACTCTTTATTATTATAATCATTTTTAATACAAGTGGTAGAAAGGTGCCTTTGAATAATCTCCCTGCTATCATCCCTTCTGGATGCTCCTTCTTTGTGCCTTGTTCTTCTGAAAACGAATGAGGTGGGCTTTTCTGTAGCTTCTCCTTTTCACAACGGAATTCTTTCTTCCTTACTCAGTTTACAATGTGTTGAGTGTATTGTGGTGGTCAGCATTACAGAGCTCTCTTCAAACCTTCAAAGGAGTTTTGTGTCCTACTTCAGGCGTTGATCAAAAGAGATTTGCTGTGGCAAAATGAGCAGTGGCTACCCAGTGTAGAGGGCAAGCAGGTAACTGATATCCTACCATTTACGGGGCTCTTCCACTCACAGCCCATTGCTGACCGGCCCGCACTAGGTCAGTAATATAGTCCTATCCTCCACTTTCTACTGAGACATGACATTTCATCCCATAGGGATTATACAATGACTCTTTGTTGGCTTTAGAGGGTCTACCAGTGGTTGCTTTTTTTCAGAGGGTCTACCAGTGACCTTTCACTTAATAGCCAAGATATTCTACCCTGTTTGCCCTTCTGCATCTACAAACTTTTAGTTTAAAAGTCTAAAAGCAGTCTTTCAGTTTAAAAGCTCTCCTGAAATTGTAATAAATGTAAATTTCACCAAAACCAGCAACAGGTTGAGTGAATCCAGGATGCTTAAATACAAGAGAATGTGTTCTTACCTGGTAGACGAAAGACAAAATGATCAGCTACTGAGAGACAAAGTCTTTTCTTCCAGAGAAACAGCCTAGACAAGAAGTAAAGGTAGTCTATAGGAATAGCGCCATGGTAATACACAAGAATGCCTGGTCCTTCTGGTAGGTTTTCCACACCGTGAAGCTCATAACCTGTTTGGGATGAAAAGCAATACACTGACAATGATTGCTGTAAGGCAGCTGGCAATTTAAAGAAAACTGTTTACAGTCCTTTGTTAAATGACTTTCAGCGATTTCTGTAAGCCTCTGCAGTAGCTTTTAAAAGAATTAAGTTCTGGATGGAACTTTTGGTCAACAGCAAAGAGAAAGCCCCTCAAACACCACAGGTTATTGGTGGACTCATTTGTTGGTCAGTTTAATCACTAGATCAAACCCAAACCTGGTATTCCCCCCACCTCCAAAAAAAAAAAAAATTAAAACTTACGTGTATTTACTATTTATTGTAATTCAAAGCTTCTGACAAGTCATGTCATACTTACCATGCCATATTCTCGCATATATATCCCAAAAGCTTGCTATCATCTTCCTTGCACTATCCCAAACATCACTCAAGGGATCTGCTTTTACCTCACCGTTCCTCTGATATATTAAAAGCAAAATATTAGTAAGGTAAATGATAAAGAGGATTGTTAAAGGAACTATAAAAAAAACTAATATTGCACTGATTGTCAGTGAGACAATGACCACATGGAAAAGGTGTTTCTTCAGGTACTCGACAACAGTCCATTCTTCCAGTGCGTAGGCAAGCCAGCTTAGGTCAGTCATCGGTATCTGTCCTGAAGCACAGGATTCTTTTCTACCTATCATGTCCTGCATGGAGGAGAAAAAACAGAACAGCCAGCTCTAATTTCTGTAACCATGGAAGTTTCTCAATTTAGGAAAATTTTTTTCTGCAGATATACCTGCTGCCTGTTTTGGTATAGCACAGAGTCAAACGTTTTGTCTCTCTTTGTCATGCTGAGATAGCTGCTGGCAATTGCCATCCACTACTGCCTGTAAAGGGCGATGAGATTATCCTATGTATTTATGGATCCTTTTCATACAGCCAGCTAATAGGGGCTGAAAGGACAAGGGCTGGAGTCCAAGGAAGCCGTCAGGATGCATCAGATGATTTCTCTGTCAAGTATGGCTTACTTTTAGAAGCTCAAAAGAGGGTAAGGGATAAGTATTTTCAGCAGCGTTAGCCAAAAAGACTGCTAGCAGAGGTCTGGGCTCTCCTGATCCTCTGCAGAGTCCAGCCTGGGTTTCTGGTCCCTCTCAGTTTGACAGCAGCTGGCAGTGAGGGGAACAAACAGCGGAGTGAGCAGCTGAAGAGCCAGCAAGCAAAAGCTGGGCAGCCATGGCTCCTGCCCGAGGCCTGGATGTGCCTGGGACTGCGTTTGGGACTGCTGGTAGCGCTGGGAAAAGCAACTCTTCGCTCCTCATCCACACAGCCATGCCAGCACACCCTTCTTTCAGAGCTTCCAGTCCTGGCAAAGGCCAAGTGGGCTCCGTGGTCCTAATGACACATTTGCCACACGCAGCTCCCTGCTCAGGCTGTCCCTACAGCTGACCCTGCCTGCCTGACAGCAGGCAGTGGTTTCTCTGGAATGCAAGAGCACTCCAGCATCGCTGGCTGATTTTTAAGATTCTTGAGCGTTAGCCAGAGATTTAAATACTGCAGTCAGGTTCCATAATCCATAACTGAATACAGCTTTTATTCGCCTCAGTCAGGTTACTACTTGTTTAACGAGTAAATCATAATTGCCACAGTCAGTGCCAAGATCATAAAGTACAGCAAGTCCAGACTTTCCTGACTTTATGTCTTCAGCTGTGTACTTGTATGAGCAAACCTGTTGCACACCGCTTGCTCCGCTTTTGTTTTCCTGCTTCGAAGCCCTGGGTAGAATATAGGGGTGGCCTGGTGTAAAGCACAGCTCCGTTCAGAATTACAGACGACAAAGAGTACAGCAATCACCAAAAGCAGCCACAAACAAGCCCTAGACTCTAACGTGCAGCAAGGCAAGCAAGCCCCATGGCAAGCCCTGCTCATGAGCAGCTGTAACAGCTCAAAGTTTGGTCTCGCACGTTCCAGTCAAATCTGTCCTGATCTCAAACCCTCCGAACTCCAGGCTGCGCCCCAGAAAGGACTGTCACAGTTTAACCCCAGTAGGCAGCTGAGCACCACGCAGCCGCTCACATGGTGAAAGATGGTTTCACAGGTAGAGCACAAGCTGGAAGGACAGTAACTAGGAGCTCAAAGGAAGCAAGCACTGTATTAAATGATGCTCAGCAGGGCGCAAACCAACAAAACCAATGATGTGATGAAGAATGCCATGAGAATTAATATAGAATTGTTTATATCCTGATGACTAGTGCCTGACTAAGATACAGGAAGATCTGGAAATTGTCGCTGAAAAGAGATTTTATCGTTAACATGAAAGAAATCAAAGGAATAGTCTGCACGATTCAGATATTAAAATCTCTGCTTAGAAGGTGTTTAAGAAGGATAAAGCTGATGGCGTCATGCTACTCTATAGTAAAGAAGTCATTAATAGTTTAAAGTTGCTGATAAGAGCAATGACTACAAATCCTCAATGCCTGCGAAGCATGCTGTGCTGACAGAGCCCAGGAGAAGGCCACGCTAAGGGCTTCCCTCAGGCTACTGAATGAGAAATATTGAGCAGCATTTGGAATAACTCGTTCAGCCTGCAACGTGGCGTGAAGGAGGCGAGTGGATTTTGCATTGTTACGGGGGCTTCAGACTGGGAACACACACTACTACAGACAGCAGCAAAACCAGCTTAAAATTGCAGATAAAATGGCCATAACCATAGTAAATGTACCAGTAGTAACCCCTATACGATATGGGGCATGGTGGCATTGGGTTGATGGTTGGTCTTGATGATTTAGAGGTCTCTTCCAACCTTAATGATTCTAGGATTCTGTAACTTGTATATATTGATCACTGACAGGAACCTGGTGATTAAGAGATTGTATATTCTACCGACATTTTAAGATTAACAAACCCAGGTAGCTTCTTGTACCTAACATCCTTTTAAAAGCCACTTGAAATTACCTCGGGCCTCTTGAGACTCATTTTTAGTAACTCCTGAAAGACTAGGGAAAATCCAGAGGACTGGAAGAGATGAAAGATTATTCCAGGTCCCCAAATACAACTAACTGCAGATTCCAGACACCACCAGCCTGCAGACACCACCAGCCTGGTCTCCAGCAGGATCAGCTGCTCCCTGCTAACAAGCAAAACAGCTCTTGGGAAGAGCCCAAACTTAAGTTGGCCTACAGGGATTATAACAGTGTATTACCAATGCCACCTGACATTTTGATTAAAAAATAAAACTCTTTAAAACAGAGCACATATGAAGTGAATGATGTCATCAACTGACACGACAAAAAAGTATCCATCAGTGGTGGAATCCTACTCAAATGATAATTAGGTCTATGTCCTGCGTTACTCAGCATTTTCAGATTTTTCTCCTAATATTAACAGGATGTTTACATTAATCAGTGTAAACACTGTAACATCCCACTGATTCATCTTCCTCCATCCCAATTTTTATGTAATAGAAAATTATTTGCTGGCTGGAAGACCACTACCTTTAACCTTGTTTGCTCACAGACTACAGTATAAATGAACACAGTAACTTACTCATTTCTGATTTTATGTTCAGTGTAGACACTATAAAAAAAGCTTTACGAAGAAATTAAAATACTTAAATGTGTAAATGTATTTTTTAAAAAAACCTATAAAACAGGTAGAAGCAGTACAGATTTGACTGAGAACAGATGAGAGTAGTTGGGTTCATGTGGAGTGAGTTCATTGTACACCAGCTAGCTGGGTGGGTGGGATACCAGCTAATTCAACATCATTCCAGTTGAATCCAAGCCAGAGTGGAGAAAGAATAAATGACTGACAGACTGGGGAAAAACAGAAGCAACATGACATTTTCTGGAAGCTGGGTGCTCAACCAGGTGTCAGTTCCTGCTCCTCCAGTTGTACACTACCTCCAACATTTCATAATGGAAGAACAAACCCTGATCACTGAACCCTGACCCTGGTTTTTGGACCGTATGATGTGAGTCCAATATGGTAAATGCATCCCTCTGTACTGCCAGTATGGCATCAAAGGACTACAACAGGACAGAACTTCTAGTTTTGCCATGTTCTGCTGGCTGTTTCTCACCAGCCCCTTGCTTGAGACCACAAACACAACTTCAAAGCATCCTATCGAACACCATATAGGAAGTTATTACAGAAATGTTTGAGTGCCTATCGCAAGCTGTTACTAAAGACCGGCTTGATTATGCACTGGAAGACAATGCAAGAGTGTTACTGCAACGTGTTTGCTCATAACAGCTCTGGTTTGCCCCAAGTCTTAAAATTTAAGAGAGAAATTTCTCTCCTGCTTTTATCCAATCTGAGCCAAGAGCAGCTCCCCTGTTCTTCGATGCTGAATATCCCATAGATGGTTAACAAGTGGGTATAGTGCTTTGTGAACAAACATTTTTTAAATTGTCTAGATTTTTCTCATCTCATCTACTGATGGACTTGAAGCGTTACTGTTCTGAGTTATTTCTTCTAGAGAACAACATCTGTGTCGACAGGCGAGATGTTTGTTTGGCCTCCACCTACAAAGCATATCGAATTCCAGAGTAATAGCTGTATCTACAGTGTAAAATTACAGGTCATGTCACGAGGGAGACAGAACAAATGTCTACCTACTTAAATGGGAGCTCCCCTTCCAGCAAAAGCCTCCTGTTCTACAAGTCACTCCAATCCTGAGCTCTTGCTGAAGCATCATTTATTGATAAGGATAACCTTACCAACACTATAATCCCAGGGAACGGAAGCAACAACAAAGCTGTCACACGAGACCTATGACATCGAAATTAAAGCCCTGTAGGTGGCTTTCAACCTTGACTAAAGAGTGGAGAGTCTTGGTCTTGCTGCTCACCAGTTTGTTCTTGGCAGTGGGTTTAGCAGAGCACAGTGGGAAGGTGAGTCTGAAGTCACTGGAGACTCTTCTGTGGAGGATTTTTTGACACCTGCTTTCTTGCGGCAGGCTCCTACTTTCTCTCCTGTCAAACTCAACCCCTCTGTTTCACTAGGGGGGTGATCCAACAGTTCCAACTCTACATCTTCCCTTTCAATGTAAATGAAAATTCTGATTTTACATTCCATTTTTTTTTGGTGGCAGTTCCATGGAAAATAACTCTCTTGCTGGTCTCACACTGTCACCATCCACTTTATTTGCCTCCGTAAATCGCAGAATCACAAAATCATTTTGGTTGGAAAAGACCTTTAAGATCACTGAGTCCAACCATTAACCCAGCACTGCCAAGCCCACCGCTAAACCGTGTCCCTAAGCACCATATCTGTACGTCTTTTGAACACTTCCAGGGATGGTGACTCCACCACCTCCCTGGGCAGCCTGTTCCGATGTCTGACCGCTCTTTCAGTAAAGAAATTTCTCCAAATATCCAATCTAAATCTCCCCTGGTGCAACTTGAGGCCGTTACCTCTTGTCTTGTCAGTAGTTACTTGGGAGAAGAGACCCATCTGGTGCGCTGCTGTGTTCCTACAGCCTTCCCTGCCTTCATGGGTTATCAGCACACCCACCCCAAAGCTGAAGGGTTTAACCCTCAAAATAGAAGCCACCAGCCATCACCATGCCCGGTCCCCTGCTTTCCGTGGCTGCTCTCCCTTCCGCACACACCGAGGGGACCTCCCGGGGAAGGCTGTTCACCCTTTACAGCATCAGCCAACACCACGAACCGAATTCCCGATCGGGTTTGATTCACCACGTG